CCTGCATAGACACTGGCCGCGCTGCTGACCGGCCGGGCGCCGTAGCTGGGCGCCTGGACAGAGCCCAGGGACCGGTAGTTGGTAGAGAAGGTGGAGCGAGTGGTGAAGCTCATGCTGTATGGGAGGAAGGCGAGACGACAGGACTCAGGCTTTGCCGACCTGTTTAGTTTTAAAGTGAGTTTTTATTAAAAAATATTATTATTATCTAATAATGGCTAGAAAACCGTAGAGTACTGCTTGTATTGTTTTCAACAGAGAAATACTATTAATATGAAAATTGCTAAAATATGAGATAAAATTATTATTATTACATATTTTACATAACATTGAGAGATACCTGAAAGGCTGTGATTTTATGCTGTTATGGAAATTGCAGTGTCCCAAAGCCTTAATCTGGTATAGTCACAAGAGTTGACCTGGTACTGCTCCTGTCACAGGCTGACTCAAGTAGAAGAGTCTGGTCTGCCAGCTCTTTGCTTGTTAGAATTAGAACATATCAGAGGATGAATGCTGAATTCTTCATTCATCAAATGTGTCTCCATCCCTGTATATAAAACGTGAGGGTGCATTTTAATGTACTCTCTAAAGTGTACTCTAAACTGTAGACATATTTTATAACATGCTAGGAGCCTAGAAGGGAATATAGTTGCTGACGTGAGAATTTTTTTTTGTAGAAAATTATGCTTAGTACTCTGTATTGCAATTTCCATCAACCTTAGGGAAAGAAGTAAATTGTATTTAAGCCTCTTGAGTGATTCAGTATTAATCTTACAACAACACGATCCTCCTAAGAGAGAAAGGAACACACAGATTATGAAATAAAAGGCTTTTCTCTCTTTCCTTTAAATTTATGCCCAAAGCATTTTATTAAAAGTAGAAAAACATTAATAGGCATCGTTGTAAAAATGTTATGCCAAATGCCTGAACTTTTATTCAGATTATTCTGTGGATCACAACTCATTTTTTTTCTAAGATTTTGGCTTGATTCTTGTTTCAAAATAAGTCTGTACAAGACAAAGTTCTTATTCAAACACATAGCTTAGTAAGGGTCATCATTTCCTTTTTCAGTTGAATCTCAATTATCATGCGGCTCTTCGGAGAGGATTGTGTCTAGCACATTGCTTTCCTAGAATAAGACACCTTATAATATCACTTAACCATCAGTTAGATCTGTAACAGAGTCTGATAGGGCATTAATGGCTTTAGATATTTTACTTAGATACTTTGTATGTACAAGAACTTTAATAATTTTTCTAGTACAAGTTACATTAGAAAATCATAAAAGATTTTTATATCTAAACACATTTTTAAAAAATATTAAGACTTATGGTAAGAAAAAGATATGATCAAAATTTCTATTCTTGGTTAATATTTTGAATTGGACATATCTAACCTACCTCCTTTAGAATTTAATACAAATGATATCCTCATGCAATGTGCTTAGAATAATGCATTTAGTATAGTTAGTGGTAACTCTGAAAAAATGAAGATGACTAAAAATTTAAAAAGGAATAATGGAAGTTTCAAGGTGAATGAATGCATCTATGAGCTGGGAGGTTGTTATGCCCCAACTCCGTGGGAAAATAAGCTCCTGTGCTTGAGTTTCTCCCAGATCTTATTCCACATAACTCCCCATCTGGCTATGTGACAGATGTCACTATGTGACACAGTAGTGGACCTGGAAAAGGAAATATATGATATTTAAAAAATTAAGTTAAAAAGAAAATATTAAAATGTCAGTGCTATTAAGAAAAGAAGGAGATTGGCATAAAGAATTATAAACAGGTGGGTCCATGCATATGCTTTCCTACACATATATAAGCAGTTACTAACTTCTTAGAAGTGAAACTGAAAAATGTTTGTTTGAAGTGACATCAGCAACATGGCACATGATAAGTTCCAGCCACCATCCCCTTGAAGAAACACTAATGAAACAATCTCAAAATACCTGTATGTGAACTCCAGAATCCAGTTTAAATTTATAACACTTCAGGCAAGCACAAAACCAAGAAAAATGACTTTGTAAATGCATATAAAGAACACTTTAATTTTATTTATGCTAATCCCTCTTTTAAGCTGACATAGCTTAGCACCCTCTGAGATCCAGGCTTGGGATTTCTCTCTTGGGAGAAAGAGTGAGGGCAGCATGGCTCTTATATCCCTTAGCATTTCAGAGCATTATCCACCAGTTCTACTTTTGTCTCACCTCACTCAGAACACTGAGGAAAGCAGCATGTGGAAAACACCATGGGGCAGCTAAGAACGAAGGGAAGGGTCAGGGAACCTCAGCAGCCTGCACAGTGCTGCAGGATTGAGAGAAGGTGTACAACTCTAAGACTCCTACTTTAAGAAGGGAGAAAACTGTAGCTTGGATTTAGCCTTTCAGTATTCCGGTACACTTTCTTAAGGAAAAGGGGAAGGGAGATGAATCTGTTTGATTGAAAGAAGGTATACAATCCTGAGAGTTCTCCTTCAGGAGGAAAAAAACGTAAGTGAAGCTTGCACCTAATGTCTTGGCATTTCAGTCACTGCCTGAAGGAAAAGGATTAGCATCTCTCAGCAGCTGACAAAGCTCTGCAGGATAAGAGGAAGAAGACAGGCAACCCATAATCTTATCCTTCAGGAGGAAGAAAGAAAAGTAGAGCTTGTGCCCAGTGTCTCATAATTTTGGCACTCTCTCACAAAGTAAATGAAAAGGAGTTTTATGGTGATTCACATAGCTCTGTATGATTGGAAAAAAAGCACACAACCCAGACATTTTCACCCAGGAGCAAGGCAAAGCAGTGGAGTGTTTATGCAGTACCCAAGCCTATCAGTGTACTGCATTTGGGTAAAGATGAGGGCAGCGTGGCTCTCTGATAGTGGGAAAAGGCATATGACTATGAAACTTCTCTACCATGAGGGAGAGAGAGAAGTAGAACAGAACACTTATCTAAAGAAATAACATTCAAAACATCATAAAAATTGATACCAGGATTATTGAAGCTTTATTTATTTATTTATTTATTTTTTTGAAACAGGGTCCTGCTGTGTTGCCCAGGGTGGGGTACAGTCACACAATTACAATTCATTTCAGTCTCCACCTACTAGGCTCAAGTGCTCCTCCCACCTGAGCCTTCTGAGTAGCTAGAGTCACAGGTACGCACTCCAACACTCAGCTAATCTTTCCATTTTTTGTAGGATGGGATTTTTACCATGTTGCCCAGGATGGTCTAACTCCTGGGCTCAAGTGACCTCCTGCCTTGGCCTCCCAAAGTGCTGAGACTACAGACGTGAAGCACTGCACCCGACTTTTTGAAGATTTAAGGACCCAGATAAGAAGATCCTAACAAAATACACATGGAGACATATTATAATCAAATCATCAAAAGTCAAAATGAAAAAGATAATTTTGAAAACATCAAGAGAAAAATGACTTCTACTGTAGAAGAGAGCCTTTCTAAAGTAATCAATGACTGTATCAGCAGAAATCTTGTAGACCAGAAGAGAGTTGAATGATGTAGTCGAAGCACTAAATGAAAACATCTGCCAACCAAGATATTATATTTGGCAAAATTGTCCCTCAGAAATGAAGGAGAGATAAAAACTTTCCAAGATAAACAACAGCTAAAAACAGCTCATCACCACTAGACCTGCTTTACAAGAAATGCTGAAGTGAATTATTCAATTAAAAAGGAAGGACAGCTAACAGCAAGTCAAAACATACTAAAGTATAAACTCACTAGTAAATGTAAATATATCAATAAATTCAGAATAATGTAATACAGTAGTGGTGGTATGTAAATTACTTAAAATTTTTAGAACAAAATTTATAAAACAAAAATTTGGGAATAACTATAAATACAAATATTTTCTAATGAATTCACTATGTTAAAAGATGCAAATTGTGACATCAATAACATGAAACGTGTTGAGGGAGACATAATAGTGTAGAGTTTTCATATGCAATTGAAGTCATCAGCTTAAAATAAGTCATCATAATAAGGCATTTAACATATGCCTCTTGATAACCACAACAAAAAGAATACAAAATACAAATAAACACACAAAAGGAGAAAGAAATCAAAGAATATCATTACAAAAACAAAACAAAACAAAACTAAGAAACATAAAGGAAGACAGGAGAAGGGGGGGAAAGAATTTCAAAAAAGACAAAAAAAAATTAAAATGGCAATGGTAAGTCATTTAAAACAGACAAAATAGACTTTAAGCCAAAAATAGTCACAAGGGACAAAGAAGGACACTATATAATGATAAAAAGTTAATTCGTCAGGAAACTATAACAATTGTAAATACGTATGTACCAAACATCAGAGCATCTAAATATATAAAGCAAATATTCACAGAATTAAAGAGAGAAACATAAAACAATACAAAAATAGTAAGAGACATCA